TCCACTTACGATGAAACTTCAGCTTTTCACGAACGACTCTCACCGTGGACGCAGAATACCACGTAGGAAAACGGCGCCTCGACATCGAACGGTGCGGGACATGAGTGTTGACAAGGTCGCAGATGATACTATAAAAAGCAACAACACCCTCGACTCGTAACCCAGCAAAGCGCTCCGACCAATCCACCGCGCAAACGGCATTATTAAGCGTCACATATCCAGCTTGTTTGTAAAAATATATAACAGTAGGAGCATCCTGAATAACATTTAACCAACATTAACGACAGAAAATTCGACCGCCGGATGGTGCCGATCCGCATCAACAAGTGGATCTCGGCAAGATACAATTTCACGCACGGAATCACTTGTACATAAGATCAAGTCAAGAATTCTCAAATTATCGATAAGTACGTCGTTGAATTGAATTAAATTAAACAAAAGTAATAACCAAAAGATTCGAAAAATTGCCGAGAGCGCGCATCGACAACACCAAACGGCTCAAGAATCCCAGACACAGATGCCGCCACGAGATTGAGGGTAATTACAATAGTAGTTGACTCAGAGATGGAGTCTCGTAATGAGGCTCAATCAATTTTTCCAGAAGGCAGACTTAACATCCACCCACAAATCAGAGATGCCTGAAAATTATCTTTCACACCGATAAGAACACCCCCTCCATCAATCTTGACAGATGCCGATGAGCTTCTATCGCGACGGAAAATGTTATAACCAGAGCAGAAAAATTCCGCGTCCGAGATCGAAGAGTTTAAGTAGGTCTCTGTGAGGCATACAATATCATGACCAATTCGGTCGACGAATTAATAAGAGAAGCGGTGATCTTAGTTCACAATCCATTAACATTTTGACAATACACTGAGATAGCCATGATGGGACAAGAAGATAATGTAATGAACAAGCCGACTACAGTTTGCTTAAGGAACGGATAACCATCACGCGAGATCTCTGATTTCCGCACACGAACGACGTCACCCGTAAACCAGACAAATTTATATTGCTTGTTCGCAGCAATGGCTTTAGCCTCTCTAATGGTAGGTTTAGGATGTCAAACTTAACGGCTGTAGCCGTAACCTTAGCCGTAGCAGTAAGAAAAGTTAAACCAATGTGTTTCAATAGCACCGTTTAGGGAACCGCTTAAGGCTACGGCCGATGTAGCCGTAACACCTAAAGTTGACCAATTTTTAACTTCTTACGTTTAGGACAAAATTTGAGCATGCGCACTAATGCGAAGGGTCAATGTTAAACATGGCTACGTACAGCTGTTTTGTGTTTACATGTTGACATCACGGGCTGGTGTTTCAGTACTCGTTGCAACTACTGAAACACGTTGCAGTAGCGTTGCAAGTGGTGAACAGGTATTTACCACATACTTTTACTTTTAAACGTTCCGTACTTTTCTCGTTATTTTATTGACTACATATTTAAATTTTAAAATCTTAAAGTTGTTTCCTAAACGGGTCAGCTGTAAGCGTTAAGTTCCTTACTGTTACGGTTACAACTACTACTACGGTTACGGTTACGTTTGATATCCTAAACCAGCCATAAGAAGTCTGGCATTCTCCGCCGTCAGGTGTTCATTGACGAATATTTAATTTCCAAGACTCGCAACTTAATACCAGGGGCCACAGCAGCGCCATCCGGCGGTCCCTTGATTTTCGCGGCACCCAAGAAACGATCGCGGACCATCCGAGATAAAAACTTCACCACAATATTTCGCGGTCGACGAGCATTCGACTGGGGACGATCCGAAGCAACCATACTTCTGAAAGGCAGGCGATGTATGACATCAACATCCGCAGAAGAGACGGAGCAATTAAGGAATTCACCAATCGAAATAACCACATCTCCCAACGATTCGGATTCCTTTTCAACCACTCCAGTAATAATAACATATTGCGTCTAGAGTACTATTCAAGGCTCTCCAAACGCGTCGTAACACCCTCCAATGCTGTCCTAAGAGCAACATTCTCTGCTTTTAATGTCTCCATCTGCCTCAATTTTACGTCCATCTCGTTAACCTTGCTCTCAAAATCGGATATCTTATCACCATAGAATGAAATGGCGCGCAGAAGTTCATCATACTTTGCCTATAAACTCTTCACATTTGTTTGGATTTCCGTTAGTAGAGCAAACATACTCTCCGTAGTTTGCCCAACAAGGGACTCTTAACCGGAGGCCGTTCAACCGTTGGTAACTTATGAGTTAGAGATGACTCATCGTCAATAATAATAGATTGATCGCGACGAGAGGAACACTTGTGACATCTGATGACACATGATTGGTCTTAAAACGACGAAGATCCTCCACCAATAAACCCACGCATTTGGTGTAAATAATACTCTTTTTAAATTTTTTTTGATTTTTTAAATAATTAATAGCACGCACACATCGTTTTTGTAGCACTAACACTCTTCTCGCACCAACCGCATACCCCCACACGGCAATCCCATATCCGGCAATAGCATGGAAGCAGGAAAAATAGGCCATTTTTGCAACGTCCATCGTGACACACAGAGTCAGTCTTCGCACAAGGACAACCGCACTTGCTAAGCGCCCGCACAAAACATCGATATGATCGTTCCAGTTTAATGCAGGATCAACCAAAGTCCTAGTAACTTAATGTTGCTCTATCTCCTTTGTGGAAAAAGTTAATAACTTGCGTTTTTTCGTTATTCAATAACTGTTAATCTGTTTGCCTGTAGCCAATCAGAAACTGAGTCCAAAGTCTCAGTGCTCTTTTCGTCCACAAATTCATTTGACGGTCTCCGTATAACAAAAGAGGTGTCATCCGCATACAAACACGTAATTACCTCCTCTACACTTTTTGGTAGGTCGTTAATGTAGATAATAAATAATAGTGGTTCAAGTATGGATCCTTGAGGCACACCATACTTACACTCCATCACATTCGAGAGATCACCACTCCATTTAACACACTGATATCGCTTGGCAAGGTACGATTTTAGAAGATTATATATGCTTCCTCTGATACCATAATAATCAAGTTTGGTCATCAAAATGGAATGATCCACCGTATCAAAGGCGCGACTCAGATCACAACAAATTATTTTAGATTTCTCATGATTATCATGGGCATCCGTGAGATCTATGACGATTCTAATAATTGCGGTGGCAGTTAATTTACCCTCTCTATAACCATGCTGACCTTCTACCAAGATATTATATTTACTTAAGTAGTGAACAAGGCGACGCTTAACAAGTAGGAAATGTTCATCGGCACATTTATGGAAAATTATAGCTAGTGCTGGAGCAATTTCGCTGGCAACTTTTTTCATAATAGGAGAAGTCAATCTATATATCTCTTCACTGTTTGTCTGTTTCACCTTCGAGATAACAGCTTAATATTTCTTGATCATCAATCGGTGCACAGAAACAAGAATTGGTATTGTTTTTATTAATTTTTTTTATATACTCTTCAGGCTGTATAGATGGAATCTCAATGTCACCAAGTAATGATTGTATTTCGGTTGCATAATATTCGCTGAAACCAACAGCATTTAGACCTGCATCATCTTGTGGTTTTCGTTTATTATTTATTCTTTCCTTGTTGATTACTTCCCAAATTTTTTTGTTTTTGTTGTTTGCATTATTTATAGCATCACTATTCTGTTTCTTTTTTTCATGATTAATTAGTTGTATATATTCTTGTTTGCATGCTTTATATATTTCGTACGAAGCTGTATCTTTTTTAGTTGCAGCGATCATGCCTAACGATTCAACTAAGGATTTTTTCTCCCATATGGTCCGGAAGTTTACGGTCGTAGACACTTGTGCGGTTGAGCATAGATTACTGAAAATGTTGTGTGCAGATGCAGCGTGCCGATCTTTCTGTAACTCTTGAAGGCGATAATCCGAAACTACTAGTCAATTCAGTCAATTGACTTTTCAGTTTGCTTTCTTCACAAAAGTTAATATTAAAATCTCCCGCCAAGAGTATCTTATGATTTCTATAGTGTTTTTCTAGAACCTGTAATGCAACACTCATTTGATCAACAAAAACTTGGAAATCGCCGTAAGGTGATCTATATAACGCTATCACCACAACACCTCTCTTAACAATTTCTACTTACACCATTTCCATATGTAGTTCAATGCTAAGTGCTTTAAATTCTTTTAGTTCTTTCGTTCTTATGCCATTTTTTACAAGAATGCCAACGCCACCATGTATCTTTTGACGCCGACTCAAAAACGTCTATTTTTTTAGCTAAGGATTGCGTGTTTATATTCAAAATCGTCAAACTAAGGTGCTTGACTTGATTTTTTGAGTGAGTTTCAAAAGTTTTAACGTTTCACAATTAGACCAGTGTGCCAAAAAACTGGGTTTTCTATTTGGTCTAGCAGTTTAACACTTTCGCGTACAGAACTGCATATGCAGTGAATTGGTGCGTTTATGGGTGAACTATCGAAATCATAGTGTTCTCAAAAGTATTAAAATCTATATCTATCTTGAAAGATTTGCTAAGAAAGTTTGGATTTTAGAGGAAGTTAGCTCGTTAATTATTATTTTGGAGGTATTTAATTTTTGTTTTAAGTAGTCTTTTAATTGACTTTCCTCACAATTTATATCAACCCTACCCACGTACAACCAGGCCTTCCTTTCTGACGGCTTAATTAGCTCCGCATCATCTACCCCCTCCAGACTCTCGCGAGGTAGGACGGAATAGACCGAGGAACGAGAGTGTGGAGGTATTGCTCGACCTACCTCGTGCTCCTCGTGCTACTTCTACTCGCCTCGTCTACTATTTTGTACACGAGACAAAGGGACCGAAGATACGAGTACGAGGAAAGACGAGGTACAACTCCACACTCTCGTGTTTCATCGTTAGTTCATATTTAGTATTGAGCGTATTGTTAGTGTATTAAGTATTTTCTTCGTTAGAAACGTATATATAAAAACAATAATATATAATAAATAATAATAAATAATGAGTGAGTGGGTTCAAGAACTGCAATTGCAGTTCCTTGAATGTTATTAACGGGAATCAGTGATTTGGGATCCAAAACAATGTTCAGACAAAGATAAAAAAAAATGTATGACGCCTGGCACAGAATTGAAGTTGAGATTGGAAAGCCAATCAAAGAATTAAAGGCTAAAAAGGATTCTTTAATGGCAACGTATGGGGGATACTGTAGAAAAGTAGCAGCTTCTATGAAATCTGGACCGTCCGGAGATGTATATAAACCAATATGGTTTGCCTTCGAGCTAATGGACCAATTTTTGGGGTCTATTTACAACTGTGGAGGAACAACAAATACAGAGGAAGTAAGTGTAAAATATCAATCCCTTTTTAATGAATTTAGTTTATTAGCAACAATACAATGAAATCATATATATACTTTATCGAAAACATTATACCCCGAATAAAAATAATCACGAAAAGTGTCCCGTATTTTCACACATGATGGGGTTGTTCGCCGTCCTAACGATGGTAAATTCCTTATAGCACAATTTTCACCTACCTCTTGCCTCCATAAGCCACTTTGCACCAGTATGCCATTATCATCATACATATCTGTCGTACCAGGGAGGTTATAAACATTTCTAGAGGAAGAACTCCTCAAAAAATTGTGTAAGAGTACACAAGTTTTCACAACATTTGGTACTGATTCAATATTTATTTCAAGCGGTTTATTGAAAATTCTGAATTTTGAAGCTAAAATTCCAAATACATTTTCTACATAAACGCTACAACTGGACAACTTGTAATTAAATACGGTTTGGTGTACCTTTTCCATGATTTCCAGGATAAAGTTTCATCAAATTTGTACCCAATGCCATCGCCAATAAAAACGTACGGTACATTTGGACCTTCAGTACCTGGCTGAGGACAATAGGTAGGGAAATTTAAATCTTCTGTGCTAATTTTTTTCACCACCGTCACTTATTCTCCCTTTTGCTCCGATATCAGCAAAAATAAAGCGGTAGTCACTGTCGACCAAAACAGGAAGAACAATACTAAAAGATCTTTTGTAATTGTGGTAATCTGATGCTGAGTTAGATGGACATCGCACTACTACATGTTTGCCATCTATTGCGCCGATTGCATGTGGAAACTTCCCTTTAAATCCCTTCGGGTAGCTGAAACATAGATATAAATTGCATTAATAAATCATTATGCTTATTATTTTTAGGTACACTCTATTTCTGAAGCCGTTGGTGAAACAGACCAGCCGATAGACAATGGTAACGATGTAGTGGAAATGCAACAGGATAAAGTAAGGAAAAGTACAGGAAAAACCATTCGACGTCGGGCGGATCCACCAGAGCTTCAGGATGCAGCTAAACAAATGAAAACTGCGTTTGATACCCTACACTCTGTAATAAATAAGAAAGGTGAATCTGAAGATAAATGTGCCGTATTCGGTAAACTTGTAGCAGAAAAGTTAAAAAAACTATCGGAAGATGATAAAGAAGACATCATGTTTGAAATACAACAAATATTTCACAACAGAAATGTGCAACGCCCATATTCAGTTAACTCCTCTTCCTCATCACTCACTTCTCCATTTTCAGTACATAGTATGATGTACGAACCTGCCCATTCTTTTCAACAATGTACCAACTTGCAGTATGAAAACGCCCAAAATTCATTACGGAATGTAATCAATGAAGCATTTCAAAACTCTTAGTTCCTTTTTATATTACTTTTCATACGCATTTAACATGTGACAATGTCATGTCATTAAAGTGTTAAAATATAATTATTTTGTGATATTTTCCTTATTTTACTTATTTATTTACCTTACATTCATCCTTAAGAACATGGTTGAGAGCTGAACAGACTTCCGGCACAATTTTGGATATAGACAGTGGCGGATTTACAAATGTGCCGTCTATAAGCTGAACGAACTCGCCGCCTATGAATATCCGTAACAGAACTAAAAGTAGGAAATGAAATAAAAACTGCGAAAGTTGTGCAAACATGTATTAAAGTCAAATAAATTTGAATAAATTTTGATTACATCATCACATGATATCGAATTTGCAGTTTCCGATTGAACTGATAAAATTGCTACATCGTTTAATCTATTTTCGGTCATAGTTGAACGTAAGTATGTTTTTATTCGTTTCAAGCATGAGAACGACCGTTCAGAAGAGCAATTGCTTACTGCCATTGATTTGTAAATTCTTAAAATTATATCAGTATTAGGAAAAATATTAAGCAGATTCTGATTCCTGATCCAGTTGCACATGTTGTTGATATTTATATATTTTTTGTCTTCTTGTGTCAAATACTCTTTAAGATGCAACATCTCTTCAATAAAATCATCTGAAATATCCTGTGAATAAATTTTACATAATTTTAATGCTTCATTCTTTATTTCTTCAACTGCTAGTTCGCGAAATTTAAACAGAACGTAAAAAATTTCTAATACTTTATCGTACATACATTTTCGACGGTCTAATTCCGAAATTAATCTATCCACAATTATAAGAAATACGTTTATTTTGAAATCATCCCTAGCAGCGAACAGAACTTCTTCATTATCGTCGTCTTCATCATAATGTCGCTTCCTTTTTCTGGCACGTTTTTCGCTTGCGGTGTAATTCTGTGTACCATTTAATTTCTTAGCCTCCTCTTCATAGATTTTAAAGTTTTCGCGGCAAGATGAAATAAATGAAATCAGGGATTTATACAAATCGATGACCAATCCAATATCTGCGTCTTCCTGCTGTAGTTTTTTACTTACTATATTCATACGATTGACAACAGTGCTCCAAAAAACAGTCATGAACGCAGTTTCTAATCTGGCCATCTTTTTAATTAGTCCCATTGCTTCTGCCTTCGAAATCCCCTTCTCTAAACTGTCATTGGAAATCGTTTTCAGAGTATTGTAAATACATTTCCAAGACTTCATTAAAGCCTTGCAGGCATGATCTCTGCATGACCATCTCGTGGACGACAGACTTTTTGGTGTTGTTTTTACATCATTCTTCTTCAATTTCTCCCAACGTACCGTAGATGCCGAAAAGAAATTGTAGATATCTTGTAGAAACGTAAAATAATTTGTCGATTCCTTACAACAATTAGCTGCCGACGTACCAACTAGGTTTAGAAAATGAGCTGAACAGGGTATAAATTCCGCATATTTGTTTATATTCTTAATTCTTGCTTGGAGGCCGGTATAAAGTTCCGACATGTTCGCAGCATTATCGTACGACTGACCTCTAGAATCATCGAAATTAATTTGAAAAGATGCTAAAGTTTCCGATATTATATTGTACAGTTGCTCGGATTTATGACAACTAGTCGGTACGAATTTTAGGAATACTTCTGTCGGTGATCCACATTCTTGGATATATCTTATGACAACTGATCGACGTGGGATATGTCAGGTGTTGAATCCACAATTATAGAAAAGTATTTAGCTATCCTTACATTGGCAGATATAACTTCTCTATACCTCTGAGCCATTATATATACAATTTCTTCGTACGTTGTTGACGAAAGATAATTTGTTTTTCCGCTACCTGGTCTTCCATAATTCTTTATATGTTCCTTCAAGAACGGATCAAATTCGGCTAATAGTTCCACTGCCATTAAAAAATTTCCATTATGACTTGATCCAAGAACTTCATCAGAACCTCTTAATGGAAGACCACGACTTGTTAATTTTTTTACGATAACGACAATGCGACGTAAAACTTCAGTCCAATATTGTTTCTCTTGATCACTCTCTGCATTTAGCATATTATTTAAATTTTTATTCGAAGTCCTTGCCCTGAGAGGAACCACAGAATTTTTGTGATTTATAGATCGTTCGTGCGATTCGACGCAGTGTTTAAGGTTTTTCCAATCATTGAATCCTTTATTTGCGCAAAAGGATGTGGCTGCTTTGGATAATAAACGACAAGGCCCACAGTAAATACTACCATTTTTTTCAGAATATATTATCCATTGTCGATTTGAAACTTCACCATTTTGAAACTCTCTTTTAAAAATTGATGAACTCATAAGTCGTGTTTGGTCATTGTAGACTCTTTTAGAATTTTGATAATCAGACTCTGCATTTTGAGAATAGCCATTACGTGCAACAAAGTCTATGAGTTCATCATTAATAATCCACTTTGCAGGATCTTTCTCAAATTGAAAAGTTGGAGGCAGAAATAGCGGTTGATCCTTCTTCTCCTGTCGTTCATCACTGTTTTCTGGAACATCTTCATCTGCAAACGAGGTCAATAGAACACTAGTTTCCTTTGATGCACAAGGTCATGCGAATGTTTCAATTGGTGGTTCCGGAATACTCTTGCTGAAGAAAGAATCAATTTTTGTAGTTCTTTTCAAGATTTCGGTTTGTTTTTTTTGCTTCTCCTCTGCCCTTTTTTTGTATTCTCATCAGCCTAAACGCTTTCTACCATCTGCCATTTGTACGTAATCTATAACACTATTGTTATTTAAAATAAAAATGCGTTAAATTTTAATATACTTACAAGTGCGATCTCAAAAAATCAATAAAATAAAAGGCCTGTAGCAATCGAGACTATTCTATTATTTGTCATAACTAACATGAAAGATCACTTTAAATAGCTCAATTATGCATTACATTATTCTAAATTAACTTTTATATAAAAATCTGCAGAATAAAGTCGCTAAGTGTATCATGTATGATTCTGCTTTGCGATAAAATAACGATTGAAGGAGAAGCAATATTATATCGATGATTTTTAAGAGAAAAATAACCGGCAGACGCGGCTCTACGTCGCCACATTCTGCCACAAAGCCGACGAGTCGTATTGTGGCGCCGTGCAACGCTTTGCTAACAAAAAAATTTTGAAAAAAAATAAATATTATAAATTGAAAAAATTCTGAGTAGAAAAGTATGGTAGAGTCCTGATTAATCAAATTTAGTTTAACCGAATATGTTGACCGTCTAAAAGTAAAATTTTACTGGCCGCGTAAAAAATTTCGCATTCTAAAATTTGCCGCCGTAGGCTACAGCCTACCTAGCCTATTTAGAAATCCGCCCTTGGATATAGATTGGCTGGATACTTTAAATAGGAAGTGAAGGCTTTTATATGAATCACCGGTAGCTAAAAACCGTAAGGTTATGGCTAGCCGAACCTTCGCTGGTATTGCATCCCTTAATTGCGTGTCTTCCTTAGAAATTAAAGGAGCAATTTGAAGCAGAAGATATTCAAAATCTTGAGGAGACATCCTATGAAAGTTAGTAATCAGCAAGTAGTAGTCATTAAGTAATTCAGCAGTTTGTCTCTTCATCCAATCCCTACAAAAAATAAATGATATACATTGACTTTTGATATTATTTTTGAATCATACAAAAAATTAATCGTACCTACCTCGTTCTATTCTTATGTATCGGCAACATCCACCGTCTCTTTTTTCTCCACGATTTTTTAATCTTTTTTTTTAAATAAATATCTACATAATTATAAAAATTATACGTACAAATAGCAGCAGCAGCTGTTGCAACCAGTTCGGTGTTAGTCATAGTACTGAAGTGCTCGTGAAGACCCGCGAGAATGTGGAGGAGGTTTAACCGGTTCATTTACGTGAAAAATTTCTTTCATTATATTAAATATTAATTGGAATTAATATAAACGTGTATGTAACATATAAATGAAACACAATTTCATTATATTAGTTTTCAATCGAAATAAACCTATAATTTAAATTCTGTAAATTATTTATTTAAAAATACAGCAAAAAGGCATTAATTTTAGAATACATAATCCAAATATTTCTTAATATTTTATAAAACTAAAAATAAACCTAAAATTGATACAAGCCCCATAAACGAAGGAGTTAACGATCCCGCAGCTCCTAAACCACCCAAATTCAAATCTTTTTCGAGGCTAGCAGGAACATCAATAAACGTTTTCTTTACTCCAACCTTTTTGATCAAACTTCTCAAATTTTGTACATTTACAGGATCTCCTTCACTCGACCAAATGGTTAAAGTAGAGTCGCCTTGGGATACCAAATCACTTAATTGATCAACACTGGAAGCAGCGATTCCTGCTCGAACCGGATAAGTAATCCGTTGAGTCACGTTGTTATTTTTTATGGTGGATAACATTGTTGTTACATGTTCTTTGGTGTAAGCTGTGGTAATACTTGGACCGTAATTTGTCGTCCAACCAACGGATAACGTTGAATTTTTAAATGATTTTGTCGCTTTAAAAAAACGAATTGGATCAACCGGTATTGCTGTTGCTTCTTTTGGACCAGCTAAAATATCTGAGTTTATCCACAGAGGATAAGTCATCTAAAAAAGTCCATTTAGAACAAAATCAAAAATTTTTTTTTTGCTTACATTATTATACAAACTATCCATAATAGGAACAGCTGTTTCTAAAGCTTCTATAGATTTAAAATCTAATTTAACACCCTTTTTATTGCCATTTGTAATGTTTTGTATATTATGTGCGTGTATTGTTTCTAAGAAATCTTTCAACGATAAATCTGAAGTGTTTGCGGGAGGATGAGCCATAATAGGAATATTTGTAAAGTTCGTTCCATTTACAGTACCAATAACGACGTCAGCTTCTATCATTTTTATATTGGCTGGAAAATTAAATGATAAGAAAAATAATTACAACTATTTTACAAGTGAAAACTTACAACTTAAAGCTTGATTTAATAACATTCGAGTATTAACAGCATGTGACCAAGATATTTGGGTTAAGTTTCCATTAACTCCAAAAAATGTATTTACATCTAAATAAGCCATTTCAGCATTGTGAAGTAACCCTAAAAACAATAGAAAAAAATGATTAATAATAAAATAATCCTACAAGAATAAGAACTTGGGTTGCATTTCAAATAATATCAGAAACTAACATATAAAATAATTGTATCTCGAAAACAAATGGAAATATTGTAACGAGATAGGTAACAAGTAATGTAACAGAATTTTAATCCGGTAGTTTAATCTACTAGACGAAGGTCCAGTTTATTCACCGTACATATTTCGTAAAAGTTTTATTACAAAAGAATACTGTTTTCTTGTCTTACTTGTCTTTTGACAAGATTTCCAATTGTAAGTTGAATAGAAGAAAGCGCACAATGTAGATCACTAGCAGTATACTCTGTATCACCAGAAGTGAGAGTGACTCATCGCGTGAAAACTTATGAAATAGCGTATTCATGATATGCCATTTCAATCTAACACACGTCAATTAGTGGGCGTAATATCTGTACCGTATACGGAAAATAATAACGGAAATCGATGAATCATTCGCGTTTCTCGTGGTATAGCCTACATTCAGTTTATTTCTATATTTTAATTTTATTGCTACAACGGCAAAAAACGCCCTTCACGCAAACTAGTGCTGGAATAAGGTAAATACAGTTACAGCGCTTGGTCTGCATGCTGGGTTAATATTTGAGATATTTTCCACAAAATAGTGATAAGTAATAAATAGTAATAAATAAGGAATAAAAAACTTGCTCTTGTAGTGTTTCTAGTAGCGCATCTATTTTAACATAAAAAGGATCCATGGCTAACTTATAAATGTTATTATCATACGATTTAGGGAAGTAACGCTTGAATTTATCGGTGAGTTACTGCAAATAGTTTTATATTTTATTCTTCATATTATCAGTATCCTCAAAAACCTCCTTAAAACGCGCATGTGTTGAGATTGAAAATAATTTAAGAAAGCAAGAATAATTACATGCTAAAATTTTGCGATTCCAGAGTTGCAATTTTTCAATATACGACGCGATGGCATCTCGATGATAAATTATGTTCGAGTCTCCACCTTGCAATTTCAACTTTAGTGAATTCAAGGAATCGAAAATATCCGATAGATATGTAATAATTCGGGAATTATTTAATGGTTTTTGGGAATAAACTATACGAATTATATATTCCTGGCGTGCAACCTTTTTCTTTTAGAAACCAAAAATCACATCTCGCGTTAACACCGGGATGGAGACCAGACGTCGTGATAAATTTTGGGAAAAATTATGTCTACGAAATTTTATGGGGAAACGTAGATAACGAAGAAGTCGTTAAAAATAAAATAGACGGTAGACAACGTAAAGTTTGATGGGTCCCACAGTTTGGGAATTACGTGATGATTTTTGGGATTAGCTAGTGGCGGATGTTATCTTCTGGCCCCGTGGTCAAAAATTGTTCCCTTCCCCAAATTCCCTCATTGGCTCAGAAAATTATTGTAAAACATCCGCCCCGTATTTTGGATTGGCCCCAGGTGACGGGGACATCCAGGCGATAGGAACGCCTTAAGAAGATTTTTGCAGCCCTCCAACACCCAAGGTTACTTAAGAGCTTGTAAGACCTTTTTCTAGAGAATGACAATAACAATCACAATCGACTCCAATTATAATCATACTCTAAGAGATTTTTGAATCGAAGCTCCATCAGCGCTCCGTTAGACAGCAACTTAGAATTCGCTTTAACGCCAACTCTAAGTTTTATCGCATATCGACTTAGTTTCATTTCAAAGAAACAAGGGTCCAAGGTTGCGATCCCTTGACGTGCCACCAAATCGGAATACAAGTCCTGAGTAAGTCTATTTGCCAGTTTCCGTTATCACCTATCTGTCACGAGAATTAGCTGTCAGGGTTAGATTCAGAAAGATCTCTTTTTAAGTAACGTCGGGTCATAAGTAATATAGATAGGTTTAAGCTTTATTTTGTTCCATATCAATTCTCTTTTTTGTTACTTTGTAAATATAGTTTAACACGTTCAGTGCCACTGACTCCGCTAGGAGCCAGTCGGCTATCGTACCATATGCCATCGACTCCGCGCGGAGCCGACTACCTTGAGAGTTGGCAGCGAACGTGTTAAGTGTGGTTAAAATACTTGTCTTTTGATTTCCCCTTTTCCTGACAGAGCCTGAGTGCAAGAACCCACGGCTCTGAAATAGTGACCCCGCGCTCCTCATTTAGTTTTGATTGATTTGCTAAGATCAGTTAGGGGTCCTTCAGACTACGAATTAGTAAGCGCGAAATACTATTTCTGGTGGCAGCGGTATTACCAAAGGCCGAGATCGTTCAGAGGCGGCCTCACCACAGATGAGCCACTACTGCTAGGACAGTAGATTTTTCTTCATACAGTTCACACTACTTCATCTTGAAGCTCATATAATCTTGATAACATATTTCTTTTTAAGAGCCAGCGCATTTCCGTAAAAAGTGGAGTGTTTGACGCACTTTTTTTTAACATAATTGACAATTTTAATGCAAAAATTTAAAACATCGTTGAATTTGTTTAAAAGTATTTTTGCTGCCAAAGCTTTTCAGTGTACAAAACAATGAATAACGGTTACATTAGGATTTTTTTCTTTGACCAACTGTACGAATCCTGAGTGAGAGTCAAGCATTGGGAGAGCGTTGTCTGTGCATATGCCTATCAACTTTTGGCATGACAATTAATGTTTGTCAAAGAATTCGGAGATATCTAGCTGTCTTTTCAACTACGCAGGCGAATGACCGTCAATTGGCAGCTAAAGTTGTGGTTGGAACGAACCTTATATCAACTGCTTTTGAAGTTGTCGGTAACTCTGTAGAAAACAGCGTTTCGTCTTTGATTGTTTCGTTATGTATATTGAACGAAAACTAGTAATTGACTACAATGTGCAACATCCGTAGTCTTGTCCAACTGCATTGTGAAAAAGTTTGATTCTTTCATGGCCTCCACTACCTGAATTTTTATGTTTGCGGCAGTATATTATCGGTATATTATCATTGCCATCTATCGGCCATATATCATCATTGGTGTGAACCATCAGACACCAAGGTCCAAGAAGAATAGCACCGGTTTTTAAGAGGCAACGTTTGATAAGTGTTTCATCGATAATGTGACTTTACTTGGTCTTTGCAATGAGTAGCGATAATACGAAGCTTCAAGCGTCTTTTCAGTTGACTGTTTTCGCTGTTAATTTATTGAAATAGTAATTTGTTCGAGTGGGAAAGAATAAAAGTAGTTGAACTCTTCAATACAACATATCCTGATCGCTATTAGCCAACGTATGGTAAGCCGAGTTGTGACTAAATTTAAAATTCATAGGCTTATACGAGATCTCTCGAAGGCCGGTCGACCAAATGTTTCAGGGGAGGTTCAACAAAACGTAGTTTTGGCTATGCAAGAAAACCCTCCTGTTGCTGTAAGGGATATTGGGTCGAATCCGGTCATTAGTAAATGAACGGTTTATAAAATATTAAAAACTGCAAAATAACATCCCTTTAAAGTAAACCTCATTCACGAACTCAATGAATATGATTTTGGTAGAAAAGTGCGACTTTGTGAGCACTTGCAACAATTTTGCAACTACGACTAAGACTTCTTCAAAAACATAATTTTTTCCGACCTTTTCCTCCTTACATTGAGTAAATGTTCATAGGTGCGGAATAGTACGGGATCCTATCCCGGACCCTTGCTTTTTTGAGGGAACCTTGATTGAAGAGAGATACTTAGATTTTTTACAAAATAATCTCATGCCTTTCATAATGGATCGATTCCAACGGCAGTTATTTCTCCAACAAGATGTCGCGCCGCCATACTATGCCGTTGTTGTTGAGCTTATTTAACAACTTCGTCGTCACGTCACCCATATCTGGGCGACAGGTAACGTCACCCAAATATGGGAGACGACCTTATGTTCAAGTAAATAGGTAGTTCAGTTAAAAAGGTGTTTAATGGAATAAGTACTCAAATATAAATACCAAAAATAGGATATATGTACAACATAAAAATATAAACATTATACTACTTTTCTTTATACTAATTTATATATTAGCCTAAATATTAAATTATGTTATGTCGTATGGTGTTCGTTAAAATACTCTAAATATATTTTTAGAGTTTTCTTCGCTTCTTGGCCCTTGGCAAATTTGCCTCTTCTTCTGGTAAAACAGGGTGCACATCCTTCTTGCACTAATAAACGTCCACTACCCCACAGACAAGCAAGCGGAGGTTGTCAAAGATCGCTTTCACTAATTCTTGGAGGAAGATTATGATAACACACCAAGCAACGACATCAATATGGAATACAATTAACATCAGTTTTTGTGTAAGAGTTACCACCGCCTTATTAGAATTCATCCTTATCTTGGTTATCATATTAATAGATGTTTGGGACGATGATGTAGAGAGGTAATAGAGATAACACTGAGTCCTGATCCGTTACTACATTAAAAAATATCAAAGTCGATATTGTGAGATGTACAAAACGGTATATATGTGTTAGAGATGACTATGAAAACATTGAGACATGAGACATTGAAAACTATGTTAGGCATTATTAAAAGACAATATTACAAAATGTTTGGGGACGATATTAAGAAAGGTTTTGGAGCGATACAGAAAGGTAATAGGTGTGATTATTTAGTGATATCAGATATGATGTTGAGATGTGCCAGGAACATTATTTTCTGGATTTATTTTTAGCTGATGATTAAGGATTTATGATTTCCGGCACACCATTGACAAAGCATCAGATTACCAGATATGGCATCATCAATTTAGCCCTGTATATGGGGTCATTACCGTTTAATATTCTCCAAAGTCTTCCAAAGCCATAAAAAGATACTCTGTCGTAAATAGGATACCATATCAGAAGATTCTCAAATGTTTAATGTCTTTCATACTGCCTGTAAAATAATCACTTCAAAATATTCAATTCGAATTCAATCAAAATATTCTCCTCAAAACTTTGCTGGAAAAAGAAGCTGCGGAAAGGGAAAATTTAAACCAATATCCATAGTCAAAAAAGAATGGATAAAATGCCAAGAATTAGCAAGAATTTCTAATAATGATTGATTGGTCTCCAATGTATGTAACAACTCTTCATATACTAAGGAATTACTGAGAATAGTTAAAACCACATAAATCATCTCCAATACACGTCCAGTAAATACGAATCTTTTTGCTATACACATACTGCCTTCTTGGTTAAGCTAAATTATATGATTGGACATGAAGACACCTATGAGAGTTCAAAGTATTATATGCTCACATATTATATAACAAGACGATCGAAAATATTCGATAATACAAGACGTATTGCCTGACCTCAAAAAGCAGAGTGCAGAGTTTGATACCATTCTATCTACAAGGATAGAACGTCCACATTTCCTTCGAAATCATTACAAATATTTAGGAATATATGTGAAAATCATCAATATTTCTGCTTCGTCTTTTCACAAAAAAAAAACAAAACATGACGTAATGACGTTTAAGGATCCTCGAAGTTGTAAGTTGGTGTTGAAAGGCAAAGTCATAAAACAGATCTAGAAGTCAACCAGGCGACAGTATTAAAGTAGTTAAAAAATGTTCAGGGCTGTGAAGAATTGCACGAAGAGAATGTTTCCGAGTGACTAAGTATTGACTCAAATGTTTGGGTTAACAATCAAACCAATGCATCCCTGGATCGAGTTTAATCCATGAATGTAGTGACGAGGACGTAAAACGTAAAGGATTGACACCTCAGAACAATTTGGAAGGGAGTATCTTCGTAGAAAGAATAGTGAACATGTCTGGAGATTGCATTAGTCTTACATCCTTCTAAATATCTTGGTATTTAACCAAGATATGATACAAACATTAATGGAGAGTTCATGATTATCAAAAAAAGTCTATTTTGTAATCTACATGGACAGCATCTTCACAGGAAAAGCAGTGAACGTGTCTGGACAATGTATTACTTTTGCATTACTCTTACATCCTCCTAAATATCTCCAAGGATTTCAAGAAGTGAATATTACCATCTTGGTATCTAACCAAGATATGATACTAACATGAATGCAGAGTTCATGATTAGCAATAGAGGTCTATTTCGTGATGGGATGGGTTAAGTTGGAAGGCACTATCTTCATAGGAAGAATAGTAAACATGTCTGGATATTGCATTAGTTTTGTTTTAGTCTTACACCCTCCTAAATATCACCAAGGATTTCAAGATGTGAATAATACCATCTTGATATCTAACCAATATATGATACAAACATCAATGCAGAGTTCATGTTTAGCAAAAAAGATCTATTTTGTAATGGGTAAGGCCCGTTCTTGAAATTCCAATTTAGATTTTGAAATAACATTTCTTAAACTCAATCAAGATTTGTATTATGTTTTGAAAATCTTTTGAGACATCAGATATTGGAACCGATACTGGAAGTAACTTTAAAATTACAATGAGTATAATATGAATCATACATATTTTAATCATTAACGATTAATTATGACTAGTTTCAATTTTTATACAAAAACCCGTAATAGAACATTGACGTCATTCGAAAAGAAAAAATAAAATTCCGTGGAAGTCTAAAACAACAAGCTATTGATAAACATTATTAAAACAAATTCATAAAAGTAGCATTCATAAATGTTTTCATTTGAACTATCACTGTCTTTTTGTTAAGAATAGAAAAATCCTTAATCATTAAAAATGGCTTAACTCTAAAATATAGGCATAAAATATGTTATGGATGGAAATGTTATTAATAAAAATACAAGTAAGTCTAAAAATTGGAACGATAGATAAAAATGTTATTAATAAAAAATAATAAATTAAAAGCGATCAAGATTAAGAAAAATTTCAAAACACATCATAAAAATTGGGAGTTGGAAAAATTTTGAAGAATAAACATTATTAAATATTATAAAACGAAATTATGGAGGGAAAATGTTATACTTCTCGTATGCGAGAAAATAAACAACAACCTTCTTAGTAAAAATATTATGACCTCTACTAACATAAGTACTTTATTATTGTTACGTCTTGAAAATATGCTTACTTAAGAAATTGCTGTATTGTTTAAATTAAATTGTGCGTTTTAATAACTAACTCGATTAAAACTCGGTATAATTTCAATGTTATTAAGTAAATAGTTTATTTATTAAGTATAAATCCACTTCTTTAACAAATATTTATAAAAATTACAAATATTTAATTTAATTAAATTTTTTGAGTAATTTTTAAACCAAACTGAAGATAACGACATAGTTGGGTAATAAATTTAATTATGTTCTTATGATTAATACTTTCTGACTAATTTTACCACAAAAATCGTGATACTTTATCAAAATATAACATTTTCTTCACATTTTTAACGTTAACTTGCAAAATTATTTAACACGTTAATAATAATTTACAACAAAACTTAATTTGAATCCAAAAATTATCTAACTGCTTATTCAAATAAACCAAGTCTAATTTTAAATCTACTTGAAACACCTTCAGGTTAAAACAATAAATACATAGAATAAAATTATAATTATTTTTGAAACTTACCTAGAATTAAACATAAAATAATTAATTTCATTTTATTTCTTTTTGGTGTATTTGTAAAAAAAAACTTAAATTTTCTTTTTGATAAAGAATAAAAGAATTGGTGATGTGAACCTTAACGCAGCACAACACTATTTAAGTAGAAAACGTTAGGTCGTGAGGTATACTTAAGTCTGGGTAAAAACCGACGCGCAGAATTATAAACTAGGTGTTAACGATAAGAATTACGTATTTTTACCACTTCGTGATTCCAAGGAAATAACTCATGGATGACACTTGAATGCGAACGATAAAATTCTTTTTGATTCTATATACATACTTAGAATGTTTATATAGAACAGAAAAATATTTTTATGCCTGAGTAATGTTTTTATATTATTTTGTTTAAATATCACCGTGTTATCATTACACTTGATAAAAACAATGGATTGTTAACGATTATAAAAATATAACGTGATGTGTTTCATTTTATTAACAATAGTTGGAACGATTAAATTTAAATAGTTGTAAATTAGAACTGATAAACGATATACTGAGTTGTTCCAGATGGTGTACATATTGAGTTTGTTTATAAAGTGTTACAAGGTTAATATGTATTGAATATTGTTCTTTTGGTTGCATAAGAATAAGAATTTTAGAAATTATGCAAAAGAATCTTACTTATTTTTGGCGAATTTGGCAATGAATTTGTCCTTATCACATGTAACTTATAGGTTATGTACATTGCAACATAACCTAACTTTCTTAAAATCGATTACTTAGATATTTGCGCAAAAGTATTTCAAAAGAGTTGTTTAAATTAAAATTCATAATTTAATTTAAAGTGTGTAATATTATTCGAAAATCTTTTCTGCGAACAATAAGTGTTTATACATACAGGTGTCCCACCTAAGTTGCCTCGGTCCACAGCCGAATTATAATTGAGTTTACATATTTTAAAATTAGTTTCAGTAATGGCGGACTATCCGGAAATGGATATCAACTTTATTATTTTAAAGGGTACACCCTGAATATTATTACATTTTTGGATTCTTTGTGAAATTTCAATGGTTTATCGTTTTTGAATTGAAGAGCCTGGTGCAAGAAGGGGATATAGGCCAAATTTTAAGAAAATGGGATTTTTGTTAAAAACGGTTAAAAAAATTCGTATTTATTGTTTAACATAAATACGCATTATGTTCTGCCAACTGAATCAGAATTGTGAGAGAAAATCACTTATCCCATGTTCTAGACGGGTGCAATAATGGGATAAGTTACGTAGCGTTTATACCGTTATTGCACCAGACAATCCCATACTATTATTTGTCCACCGCACATAAATAATAAAAATAAATAATGATTATTTTGTACCGTGAGAACAATATTGAATTTTTTTATGTTGGTGGTACTGAAAAATTAATGTTTTATAATGTCATTCGCAATGTTTTGCTCTTCCAGTGAATGTGATTTTAATAAAATGGATAGTGAAAGGTCTGAAGAGGAAGAAAGAGTGAAACTGAAGCGCGGTCGTAAAAGAAATGTGGAAAAATGGAAACGAAATATACAAAAATTAGAAGAATGTTACAAGTCCACATCAACGGGGAAACTTCTGCCTTCTGCCAGAAAGATAGCAAGGCAATGACTGCAAGTGCAGCAAACGATGCGTTAGAAATTTTTCGGAAGAGGAAAAGCTGGAAATTATAACGACTTTTAATAACCTGGCAGACCAGGACAAACAAGATTCATATTTATTCAGGTGGACAAAATGAAATGCATTTTTATCGTTCGCTGAGCCCTAGCCTGGTACACCGATGCTTCAAAGACAGTTAGATCCGTAGTAGGCATGGGTATCAGTGGTCCAAATAGCCACATTAAACTGCCCATCAGCTCGGACATAACCATTTTTCAAGCAGAAGTTCTTGCTATAAACTTCTGCACCGCGTTGAACCTACAACAGGGAGAGAAAGGTGCATTGCCCTAAAGGCAATGTAGGCGTACACGTGTGACTCCGCACTGATCAGAGAGTGTACCAGCAACCTGAGAGAACTCGCTAGGAGCAATGATGTTACCCTATGGTGGGTACCAGGTCACAGTAACATTGAGGGCAATCATTGGACCCCAACCTGGTGGACTACAAAAAAGCCATCTAAAACAAATAATCAACAGTTAGGAGGCCTCAAAGATAGCCTTACGCTGGAAAGAACTTCCAGGTCACAGACAAGCGAAGAGTATGATAACTCCATCGCAAAACAAAATCAAAGAGGTTTTATGCCTCAGCAAAGGGGATCTAAGGACGCTCTCAGGTTACCTGACCGACCATGCGCTTCTAAAATACCACCTCTTCCACATTGCACATTGGACAAGCTGAGGATCAAACTTGTCGACTTTGCAACGACGAGTCAAAAACAGCTGAACATATACTGTGTAATTGCGTCGCCAGAGGCCGTCTAATTGTAAGACACAAAATTTTCGGTAAAGCTCTCTTGACACCTACCGATATAAAGGTACAAGAATGGCGCAATACTAAGATTCATCAAGGACCTACATTCGCCCTAAATTTTTGGAGGGCTAAAGTTACAATAGATCTTATAGGTCGCGATAACGAGTAATAATAATAATCGTTCACTGAAAAGTGATAAAAACTCACATTCCGATTCAGTCACCTACAGCTCTTCTAAGATTTTTGATATAGTAGAAACCACGAGAGCTGGCAGTGACAGATCGCTTAAAAATGGTATGAATCAAGATATGGACGTCCGACTTAGATTATTTCACCACATACATTTAAATGTAGGTTATGTTAGTAATGGAGGAGTTACATCCCTTAGAAGAACAGACGTACTTTTTCGACATGGCCATTTGAATTGTACAGGAGACATATTAAACTAATGCTATCTCTTTCTAACACACATTACTGTCTAGCGGTTTGTGAAGTACGTATGGCATTTGTAAGAGCGGAAAGCGATGATTTACTGCCAGCTCTCGTGGCGTCTACTATATCTATATTATCTATTATGTGTTGTTAAAAATTGTTTTGTTTATTTTATTTGATAAAAGTGTTTGTTTGCCTTCTTTTAAATAATAAAAAGTTTTGAATGTTATATGATCCTTTCTCCAACCTCTCACCAAAAAAACTAAATATGGATTCACGTATCCCCTTCTTGCACCACAATTTGTTTTTTTAACTATGATTTCACAATATATGGAAAAACTGACATTTGCTCAGATAAAATTGTCATTCTTATCTATACAAATCAAATAATCACTTTAAACACAAACATGAAATTAAAAAAAGTTTTTTGCCTTTACTGAACAATTTACATATTGTTACTTATCCCATTCTTGCACCAGGCTCTTCAATTATATGACGATTTTCGAAGAGAATGACATTTGCAGCGTCTTATAAATCTGTGAAAGCTAGAAAGATTTGGTTTTCTGTTTTGGATTAACAATAAAAGAGCACACGTTTGCTAATAGAAAATTATGCATTTATATTACGGAGTTCTTAAGTAGGGATCTGTAATTTTCGAACTTTTTAATCATGGATAACAAATTTTTCTAAATGGAACAATATACCAGTTTTTGCATAACTGGATGTAAAATTTAATTTTCTTTCAGTTTTGTACAGGTAGCATGGTGTCTATCTTCAACGGTTTTGGAGATATTCCCGATTTTTTAGTTTTTCACGATATTATAGGTGGTCGACAGTTTGCAATACTATTAAAAGTTGAAGTAGGCTTTTAAAACAAACTGTTATTAGTGTTCCGCGCATTAGAACTGGTGTTCAAAGTATTATTTGTTAACATAATAAATAAAAATGTCACTTACGCGGAAAGAATTAGTAGATATGGTTTTCGTCCTCGGCGAATGTAACAGGAATGCTTTGTTAGCGTCAAGAGTTTACGCACAACAATATCCAGATAGGAGCTATCCAACTAGGAGGGCATTTCTGTCTTTACTGGAAAGATTTACAAATACTGAATCCGCAAAACGTACTAAGTACAACCGTAATACTTATGGATAAAAAACCAGTTGCACGTTTTGTTAGCTGTGCAAGAAAATGTAGAATATAGTGTGCGTGAAATAAGTAGGAGGACAAACATCAGTAAATCTTCGGTACACAGGATTTTAAGAAAACATAATTATCATCCGTATCGACTCCAGTTGCACCAGGAAATTACTGCAGGCGATTTCGAAAGCAGGCTGTTATTCTGTCAGTGGGCAATTGAAAGAACTAATCTTGATGCGAATTTTTTTGAACAAGTGATGTTTTCGGACGAAGCTATCTTTCACAAAAATGGGTTTGTGAATCGTCACAATTGTCTTTATAATGATACAACAAACTCCCATCGATTCCTTGTAACGTATAGCCAGTACACATGGTCAGTGAACGTGTGGACAGGTGTCATTGAAACGCATATCATAGGCCCTTTCTTTCATAATCAACGTTTGACGGGTAGGATTTGTTTATAATTTTTAGAAAATAATTTGGGCGTTCTGTTGGAAAATATTCCACTAGCTATTCGTGAGTGGATGTGATTCCAACACATTTGGATGTGTCCTTTCCGGATCGCTGGATAGGACGAGGAGGACCTGTCAGATGGCCTCCGAGATCGTCAGATCTTACCACTTGCGATTTCATTTTATGGGGTTTCATTACAAGCAAGATTTATGAGACATCACCAACTACTCCTGACGATATGCGTCAACGCGTCAATGTAAGAGCTTTTCAAGAAATCACACCAAAAATAATCAGAAATGTTCAAAACTCCTTACAAAAACGATTTCTTTTATGTAGTGTACAAAACGGACAACATTTTCAACATTTAATGCAATAGTTTTTTTTATTTGTGTTTTGTTTCCAGTGGTCTTGTTGTGTTTTGTTGGCCACTTTTTAAGCATGCCAGTAATATTTCTGCCAGTCCCAAGCCTGGTAAAATGCGAGGGGAAGGTGGCCGGCGCTGCGAAATAAGTATCTATCGTTAAAAACTGGAAAATCGGGAATATCTCCAAAACCGTTGAAGATAGACACCATAATACCTGTATAAAACTGAAAGGAAATTAAATTTTACATCCAGTTATGTAAAATCTGGTATATTGTTCTATTTAAAAAAATTAAGTTATCCCTGATTAAAATGTTCTAAAATTACAGATCCCTACTTAAGGGTACAGAGCGGCCCCTTTATCTATGGGTAGACTAAACGACCTGACTTTTTAAGAAAAACCAA